TTTGGCAGGTAACTTCTTTCAACGCTTATGCTTCCTGTTAGGTATCGAACATAGCGGGTACTTTTAAAACTGCTAGTCGTCAGTTCAAAAAATATGTAAAATAACAACATCATAACGAGACAAGACGCATGTTAGGGTGATTTATTGCTTTGATCTTTTTCATGAGAACAAGATATTTTTCTGATGAACTTCAGCGAATTGCTTCAGAAACGATAATTTTTGTGCGTAAACTCAACAGAAGAAAAATTTTTAATTTATTATATATATAGAAATATATTTTTCGAACGCGCTCGGAATTCACTTGTCAGCAAATAATTGCAAACCAAGGCCGACGCAGTACAGCATGATAGTGTGCTTTCGAAAAATATATTTCTATATATATAATAAATTTAAAAAATCGACTGAAAATAATTATTTCCAGGCGGATATGATAAGTTTATAAGTTGGCTTCAGCTGGAAAGTCCTGAGATGGTAAGTGATACGGGTGTTTTTAATATCGAAGCGTTCTGACTTTATGTGTAGAACTGTGGTTGAAAAATTAAGATAAAAGGAGTAATATATTTGTCAAAAGAACTCAAATTATAAATTGAAAACGCTTAAGTGAGGTCTATGAAAGAGTGAGTTTGAGTCATGCATCTATCGGATGCTGCATCGGGTGATGTGCGTTATTGTCTGCATACGTTTTTTGTTTTTTACCATAATCATTTTGCTTCTGTTATTTGAGCAGTTGTCGAAAGTATTTCACATTTTTTTTGGCTATCAGGGTTATCCTATAATAAATCGCCCTAACATGCATCTTGTCTCGTTATGATGTTGTTATTTTACATATTTTTTGAACTGACGACTAGCAGTTTTAAAAGTACCCGCTATGTTCGATACCTAACAGGAAGCATAAGCGTTGAAAGAAGTTACCTGCCAAAAATGGTCGCCGATTTTCAAAACGAAAAGAAAAATAGTTATTCGTATAAATTGATCAATCAGTTTCTTCGACGCGATGCCGCCTATATATGCCTGGCCTAATCCTTTTTCAACTTTTTTCTTCTTATTACCTCAAAAAATCTATTTTTATTAAGAGACTTGGTTGACATTTGAGTTACGAGGTGGTTTATTACTAGAAACAATCACCTAAAGTTGAAAAATTTTTTTCATTGTTAGATCGCCAAGAACAGGTAACTTCAGCAGTTGTTGAAAGCTAGCTGCCGGAAGAAAAAATGTGTAGAGGTCAAATATGGCCGACCAAATATTTGACTACACATTTTTTCTTCTGGCAGATAGCTTTCAACAACTGCTGAAGTTGTCTGTTATTAGCAGGTAACTTCTTACAACGGAGCATAAGCATATGTATAATACTATGGCAACTGATTCATTTTTACCTATGGTTGGAATGTAAAGCCAATCATGTTCTATCATTCATTCTCTTAAAGGTCCTTCACACAATTAGTTGTACAACATAACACTTTTATGCAGTAATCCGAGACTATGATTGATTATGAGTAAGTATAAGTCCTCAGTTGTTGTTTTTTCTTTATTTTCCTGCACTTTAACGGTGACCTTCTGAATGAGAAACAAGAACACTGCGAACATTCTCGCATGCACAGTCACATGGATGAAGCGAGTTCTGTTGAAATATTGATCATTGCACAATACTCTTCATGAATCATTTGTCCTGTATATTTGTTTATTTATTTTCTATTTTATTACATGATCTTGTATTTTAGTTGTTTCGAGACTATTTCATTGCCATCACTGAGAAAATTGATTTAATATATAAACATCCTTTAGTCATAGATTTCGTCTTCTATGTTTGAACAACGATAAACGCAGCTCATTTTGTAACACGCAGATTAGAACTTTGTACTTTTCTTTTTCAGATTTGATTTTTTTTTAAACACTTACACTTAACTCTAAAATTATCATAATGCCACGTCGTTCAGGAGGTGGAATGAGAGCTGCTCCAGCACGAGCACCTGCGAGGTATATTTCATCTCCGTTACTATTCATTCGTTTAAATTAATCTTTCTTCGTTTAGACCCCCAACACAAATCACTCGAGCTCCACCTGCAGCTCCAGCTCCGATGACTGCCGCTCCAATGGCTGGACGACAGCCAGGAATGTTTGGACAAATGGCCTCAATTGCTGGGTAAGATTGCATTCAAACATTTAACTATCCGCTATTTGCATCCCAAACTATGTGTACACTAGTCTTGTTACTAATTGACATTTGTTTTTGAATATTTTAGTGGTGTCGCAGTTGGATCTATGGTGGTAAGTAATGTCTTTTGCTATGTTCATATATATCTTTTTAACTTTCTTCGAATTATTTGATTTTAGGGTCATACATTAGGCGCTGCTATTACAGGTGGATTGGGAGGTGGTCGTGAAGAACAAGCAGTTGAAAGTGGCCCATCATCGCAGCCACTTTATCAACAACAACAACCAATGCAGCAAAACCGTTCAAACTATTGCGAATTACAACAAAAAGAATTTATGAGATGTCTCGAACAATCAAATGGGGATTCAACCCAATGTCAAGGATTTTGGGAAGCAATGAAAGATTGTCAGAAATGGGCTCAAAGTTCAGGTAGTTAAGTCAATAGTTTTTTTTTTGAAACCAATTGATTATAATTGCTTTTTCTTTTCCGTATTCCAGCTACAATGTAATATGAAAAATGCAATCCAGTTTTTAAGTGAAATTCCAGTTCTTCTCCTATAATTATGAATAAACAAAATTTTCTCAATCATGTGTTGATAGAACTACTGTGTTTTTTGAAAAACATTTGAGATTATACAGATGTTTTGTCCTTAGTGTTTTCCCACATTAGTATCTTCACTTTTTGTGTTATTCAGAAAAAAAGCCACTCTATATGTGTTTTTATTTCCTACTTTTTTCCTGAAATAAAAAAGGAAGTTAACGATCCGCTGAAGTTTTAAGACTTAAGACAGCTGTACTACCTGATTTTCAGTCGATATATTTCAGTTTTAAGTAATCTCCAATAATTGCGCCACAGCTTCTTCAGATTATTATCAAACAATATTTTCTAGAAAAAAGTTAGCGCGTTTATAAGTCACAAATATCTAGCAAAATTATCGAAGGTTGAATTGTTGAAAGAGAAAAAATGTTTTTTGCGAGTTTCACAGAGAATTCAGACTGTCTCGATTTTTTGATTTGCAACTACTCATTAAAAAGTACCACATACCTATAATGTGGATGAGGCAGATACATAATTACATTATTCGAAATTGTGTCGATGCTTGATGACGATTTGTGCATTCGTTTTATAGAAAATATGTGAAGTTTAGAACTCGCAAGACGTTTTCAAATAACCTCACTTGAGAGTGCAAATGAAATAAATTTATGTTTTAAACTTATTTTAACCTACGTTACTTAATACTACCATGCGAAAAAGAATAACGGTAAACGACAAAGTTCAGTAATTGAAAACCGTCAAACGAATAATAATGATAATAGTTGAATACCATAGTTAAAAATAGTTTATAAAAATTATAATTCACGTTAAATTCACAAATAGTTATTATCAGAGTCGATTTTGTCAAAAATCTGTGTCAATATGGCCTTTTTATTTTAATTTCAAAACTAATTTTATTAATAAAAATCTGTAACAATGCAGATTACGAAGGCTATTGAACAAAACAACTGTAAACAATCAAAAATCATTAATTTTAGGTTCAAATAATAGTGTTGAATCAGCTAATAATCATGTATACCTGTCACCATTCCGTATTGTACCTTTTTTTTACATTTGGTACACCTTTGTGCTTTCTCATAACGCGCTTTGGGATTAACTAACGCTTTTTAACATTATCTTCTGAGATTAAAAGGCGTTTATGGATTAAAATGAGCATTGTGATACGTGTGTGGATGCAGAAATGACGTTTTAACAAACTTTGACCCATAAAGACATTTTTACTGACCTTGGGACGCGTTCCAGCGGTGCTATTTTAGTCGTTAGACGCGTTTTTGATCTTGGAAGGTAACGTTAAGAGAAAGTAACGTTAGTTAATCCCAGGCACGCGTTATGAGAATTTAGTGTATTTTTAATGTATTGTAATATGTCTAAAATGTTATAAAATTTTGTTGACACGTCTAAATTGTAAGACAAAGTGCAAGAGTGAGTACTAAAACCTGATGAAGATTCGAAATGCTTGCAACTGCCGAGAATTTAATGGACTATAAACATCTGTGAGCTTTAAATGAATGTGTTAGATCAACAATCTTTGTTGAAAGAAGTTCGTGAATCCTAGAAATTAGCTACCCATATCGCATTTTTTTTCGTAATACCGCCGGTTTAGCGACGATTTTTTCTTCTACCGGCAGTTACCGCACGATATCTTTCAGACCGCTGTACAAGAAAAAACCGTCAGATAAACCGTTTTGACACAATCACCTTTTTGTTTTGCGGTTGGTAGTCTATATAAGAAACGCAGAAAAATCAGAAACTTTGAGTTTTTTTCAGACTAAACTTTCCCTTTCAGATTGTAGAGACTCATCGAAGTTTGCACTTCGACTTCAGTCAAGTCTTTCCCGTTCGAAAAAAAGAAGAAAACTGAAAACTAGATTCGAACTCCTGTACTGTTTGCTTACACTGATAAAATACCGATAATTCCAGTTCCGCTGATAGTATACCGGGGAAGGTAACAGACTGGTACCGAAGCGGTAACCGGGCGGTATTTAACCGATTTTTATGACATGGGTTACCCTTTTTTCAAGTAGCAGATCCCTAGTAGAATTTCTGCTTAATTTTATTCACACAAAAGTATTAACTTATGACTTGCACGCAATATGACTGGTCCACGTATACCATATCATCTTCGAATTTCCAACTATCTTGAAAATCAGTACCGATTTTCAGGAAAACTGGAAAATCGATTTCGAATTTCAAGAATCTTGGGAATTATTTATAGAAAATCGATCGATGTTCTAGAATATTAGGAAATCAAGCTCGAATTTCCAGTATGTAGAAAATCGACGACAAATTTTCATATTTTTAGAAATTCTATGCCGATTTTCTGAATAAAATAAAAAGTCAGTTTATAGAAAATGGAAAATTACGAATTTCTAAAAAGCCAGGAAATCTACGAGCATTTTATAAACATCAGAAAAAGCCCCACGATTTTCTATAAACTGGAAATTAAGTCCAAATTACAGTGTATGGCATTCGATGTGTCCTCAACCTGACAGTTCTGACAAAATTTTCTCTGACTATCAACACTAATACAAAATTTCTTGTCATTACAGAAAGTTTTGAATTAGTAGATCTATATTTAATTTTTTTTCTTCAGTTAATCGTATGATCAAGCTCACTGTTGCAAATTTCAAGTGTACACAATTTTTTCGAATAATATTAATCAATCGCATGGTTTATCGTTTGTCGCTCTGACATTGTTTCATGAGAAATGTATCATAAAATATTATTTCGAGCAATTCATATCGTATAAACATCTATGTTAATTATCATGTTTCTATTTATACTTTCAATCTACTGTTATTTGTGCTCAGTAATTGCTTTAGTAATCCTGATAAATGAGAAAGATAATTTCTAAATATGTTGGATAATTCATTTGATCCAACGTCATAAACTCCAAGTACATTCCCTTATGAACCACTACGAAATCTAACTCACAGTATCATTTTTACTTTATTCTAATAATTGTTTATTACGTCAGTCAACTACGCTTCTAATTTCATATCCTTGTGTCCGTTAAAGAATTATAAAAGGATTAATTGAAAAAAAATAGAAAAAACAAAGTAATTTATAGAATAAACGTGTTTATTGTAGGTCAAGTATTGTGCAGCACGAGTAGATATCAATATCAAGAAATCAGTATTGTAAATGACCATTGTTTCGATGAGTGAAAGAGGACGTGTGCGTATGTACTCACGTAGTAAAACAAGTAGTAGACTATATAATGTTCAAAATGATAAATTATAGTTGATATATAGATGTACAGAAAGAAAGAAAAAAGAAAAAAAAAAGAGTTCAACTAGATCGACTATTTTCTTCCTAACAAAAGTTAAGTCGTGTGCTTACAGAACATTATTTATCAAAAAATACATGCAAGTTTGATATTCACCAGAAAGACGGATCACTTCTAACTTATACACATGCAGTGAGGATAGTGAAATATCAGACAAAACTATTTGTTATTTTATCAACATCATGTTGTAACTATAGAATATCCGATCATCTATTTGAAAAAAGTGAAATGTAAAATATTGTAATATATATACAAAGAAGAAGAGAAAAATATGTTAACTTGGGTACTCGTTTTGGCATTAATTACAGCATTTGCACTAGCTTTTGGTCTCGGTGCAAACGATGTTGGTAAGTTAAGAAAAACAGTATAACTAAATTCTACAATGGTAATACTTTTTTTCAAGGTAATACATTTGGAACATGTGTTGGTTCTCAAGTACTAACTTTAAAGCAAGCGTATGTGTTAGCAACTGTATCTGAAATATTGGGTTCAGTTTTATTGGGTTAGTCTAGATCAGAAATGTTATATGTTTAAACATTATGTTTAAACGTTATTTTAAATTTAGGAGGTAAAGTGACGGATACCATTTGGAAAGGTATTATCGATCATTCAACGTTTGTTGGAGAAGAAAGTCAATTAATGATCGGAAATCTTGCAGCACTAGCAGGTTAAACTGTTTACTACTTTCTAAAAAACAAAGTGTATTTTTTGAACTGAAAAGGATTTATTATCGTTCTAAAATCCAAGAATTTCCAAGACAAATTTGACGAAAAAAAAGGGCTTTTGATTATCACTTCAAAAGCTAAGGTTTAATTAATACACCCTTTTGGTTCTATTAAGTTCTTTCAAAAAAAATAGCGGTTTTTTGCTTCCAGTGGGTACTCTAAAGAGTTCAGGATTTAGGAGCTAGTCGTGGACTCACGGGTTTAAATCACACCGTGATTTTTTTACCTCTACAGTGTTACAAAAACTATTTGTGTACCACCAGCAGTAAAAATCAACGTATAAGTGATTTCAAATCGAGTTCGATTTTTGAGAAAAACCGAAAAGATCTTTCAAAACAAACTGCCCATGACTAAGACAATCCTTTTATCTTTATCTCTAATTAAAAAAAATGAAATTTAAGTCTATATCGTGTCTATATCGTGTGTAGATACATTAAAAAAATTCGGTGGCCATCTTTTTCTCCCCTTCCTCTTAATGCAATGCTATCGGAATGATCAAGAGAGTGTTCCATTACGAAATCTTTTCATCGGTCGTTTAACCTGTTTTTTGTGTTTTGCAGCAAGCTTCTTCCGGCTTATTTTCTGAGACAATAAGAAGAAGGAGTGCAAGTTATATACTCAGAATCCTAGCGTTTTTGCTGTTTGATTACTCCTACTCTTCCCCTCTGTAGTTATGTTTTTCATTAAATAAATAGTGGCAGTGGTTATGATTGTAAGTTTTCCTAGTGGAGTCTACCCTAGAGAACGTACTTGATGCAAATAATTGATCACTTGCTAAGTACTTGTCAATGATCAAAATACTTGCCTTATTACTAAGAAGTACTTTCTGGAAGTAGTTGGCCAGTAAGGACAAGTGCTTACAAGTAAATTTACTTCTTGAGAAAAGGCAAGTACCGGCTTCATTACGCAGACGAAGTACTTGGACCAAGTACGTTCTCTAAGATAACTATAACCTTAGAGCCCCTATGTATAATCTTAAAATCGTCTCGGTATGTATTCAAGAGCTTCAAATCATTCAGGGCCTTATTTACGATTTTATAGCCTCTAGTTATGATCTTAACAATACCTGGTGTGCCTCATTATGGTCTTGAAACAGCACAAGATTTACAGTTATGATCCATAAAGCTGCTGTGGGGGGGCCTATAACCATTATCTTTTTGTTCAGGGATCATACCCATGTTGTCGATTTTTATTGAAGACTGACGGTTAACCGAGATTATCGAAATAATTAGCAATTGGGAGAGTGTTACACTTTAGCCTCAAACGGGGCTGCTCTGACAAGGTTTTTTTAAAGAGTTTCAGAAAATAAAACCATGTGGAACGAATGAAGGTTTCGAAGAGTAAGAAAAGATATATGAAGCATCCGGAATCCCCAATGGATTTTTCCAAGATTTAAAGAGTTCCACAGGGTTTCATTTTCCAAAATCCCTTATGGGTTTTAGACAATATGCTTTTTTATAGTTGCATATCTCTTGCTAATGAGAGAACTTTTTATTCATCTCCATTTAGGATGTTGTATATGGCTGTTAATCGCAACATTTTTTCATTTACCCGTTTCTGGCACTCATTCGATCATTGGAGCAACATTGGGTTTCGCTTTAATTGAACGTGGTTTACGTGGAATTAATTGGCTTAGTTTTGGCACAATTAGTACGTGGAAGTAGCATGTATAAACGTATGCGCTTGTCAGATCAGCCAAACTGAGAAGTCAGCAGCCGAAACGTGACACTTAAATTTAAATTTTAAAAGAAAATGTTTTTGTATGTATTTAGTTGCTTCATGGTTTATTGCACCCTTGTTTTCTGGACTAATGGCTGTTGGTCTCTACGTTGTAATGAGAAAATATATTTTGGAAAACGTACGGATCATCTATTGATTGCTCAAGATCAAAGTAAAGAACGAATCTATTTTCAATTTAGAAAAATCCCGTTCGTGTCGGATTAAAATTTCTCCCATTTATCTATGCGTTGACGATAATGATTAACGTTTTCTCAGTGTTATTTTCAGGTTATAGTAGTATGTAAGATGTAACATTATTTCACTTGAAATCGTCTAATTCTCTATACATTTAGTTAAATCACATGTATGGCTTGTTTGCTTGTTAACTGTAGTAGCTGGTGTTCTTACTGGGATTATTGTGTGGAAATATGCAGCACCAAGTTTAAAAAATCAAATTGCAAGTATGACAATTATCGTCAAACGGCAATTGTAAATTTACTTCAGTTCTTACTTCTGCTTCTAACGAATGGGCCAAATGATGCACTTTTACACAATGTTCTAGTGCCGAAAGACAGAATTTTCTCCTCTACAAAACCATGTGTGTGGCGTGCGGGTCTTGTGTCTGGAAAATCTTAGCAGATATACAACGCTTTAAATTATATCTACTTCATATTAAAATTTAGTAAATCATTGTTAAGAAACAAAAGTTTTTCTAAAACTTTCTTATGTACATCTGATACCGACACGACTGTATATTCAGAATTTTTTCTGAATGTACAATTTCATGAGTTTGTCTCTACTTCAAGCACTAGAGAACTTTCATTGTGAGAACTACAAATCTACTATGTAATACATTGAAGACTCATCTTTTAGCTAATGATATCAGTGATTTTTCAAAACTGCCAGCTGATTTATGTACGAAAATTTTCATATTTTCTGTGCAGATATGAGAAAACAGTCTAGTCTAGCTGACACGTATAAATCCGCTGAACATTTTATAAGCCCTATCTTTGCCTTGTTTTGACAAAATTGAAAAACATCAGAATTTTAGCTGCAAATCACCGTTTTACTTTTCGGTTGCTGTTACTAAACGCTATTTTTCCAGACACAAGACCAGTATGTTACTACTGTATATAAGAGGTTTTTCTTCTCTATCTTTTGACACTAAAAACGAAATTTCTAAGCAAAGTTTATGCCGAGAAAACACTGTACAAATGTGCGTCGTCTTATTCGATCCATCCATTATGGGCAGATGTAGGAACTATGTTCTCGAAGTCTATTTGTTCAGATTTTTATTATAGAATAAGAGCATATAAAATATGATGATGCAGCCATGAATTTTTCTTCTAGAACAGAGTAAACATGGTCAGGACATTTTTGATTTGAAAACACTAGATCCCGATTTAACAGTAATTGATTATAGTTTTAAAATGCAACGTTTTATGGAATATGAAGAAAATCAACAAGAACGACCAGACGAACATACTAGTAGTAAGATGAATGATAGTGAAGATGCAGCCAGTATTGGTATGATGTGACTAATTATATGAAAGTCAAACATTCAGAGTTGTATTTTTTTATGCAATTATATAGGATTAGTTCAACGAACATATGACAAAGAAACACAAGTATTTTTTGGACCAATAGTAGAACGAATAGATGTCGACGATGAGTTACCAAATGAGAGTAATGATGTATGTACGCATAATCGAGATCTGTTGTATGTATGATGTAGAATAATTTTTCCAAGTAAATTCTTTAGCTTCTTCGTTTCAACATTGCTAAACATGAAGATTCGCCGGAAGTAGCGAAAATGTTTTCATTTCTACAAATATTTACTGGAATATTTTCATCCTTTTCACACGGTGGTAATGATGTTAGGTTCGTTTGACAATCTGTTATTAATTTATATATATATATATTACTAGCAGAGATTATTTAGTAACTGTGTGGCACCTCTCGTTGGAATATGGATCATTTGGTCTACAAACAAAATTTCGTCTTCGGTACCAGCACCAGCATGGCTTCTATTTTATGGTGGATTAGGCATAAGTGTTGGTTTATTTACATGGGGAAAAAAAACAATTCAAACAATTGGCAGTGATATCACGTCTGTGACACCGTCTAGGTAATTATTGTAGACTATTTAGACAAATAATACCATTAATAAGAATTTTATATTATTATAGTGGTTTTGTTATTGATATATCAAGTAGCATAGCGGTTTTAATTGCATCAAATTTGGGATTGCCTATTAGTACAACACACTGTAAAGTGGGCGCTATAACTTTTGTTGGTAGACTACATTCACGTTATTCAGTTAATTGGAAAGTGGTTAGAAATATTATTATTGGATGGATTACTACAGTGCCGGCGACAGGCGGAATAGCGGCAGTTCTAACTGTGCTATTAAAATTAGTATTATAAATGGAAATTAAAATTGTACATAGTTTCGCCTTTTTTGCATATGTTTAAGAATTTTATGGTATAGTAAATAATGGTCTAAAACCGAAATATGTTACAGATAGAACATTTTGTATAAAATAGTTCAAACTCACACATAATAAAAACATAATCTTGTTCGGCAATTTGTTAATCGTTCATGGACAATTCTATTAAAATACCCTCACACAATGCAGAAACTAACGGACAATAAGCTGAAACGGTATATGTTATTAAGTTCAAACGAGTTGATTGCTATCTAATCGCTTAAAATCAACAATTAGTCGCAATTAATTGACCACTATTAAAAAAAAAGAAAAATCATCAGGATCGCTAATTAATCATAATTAATTTATGATGTTTTAAAGAATCGTGATATATCGGCGATTTTTAACAACTGGCGATTTTCCATGCAAGCTGATTAATCACCAGTTGTTAAAAATCGTCGATATCTCGCAATTTATGGACGATTATAGTCAAAATTGCGTTTAATTGATGATTTTATTGTTAATCGCAAGTAATCGTCCAGAATGGTGCGATTTTAACGACATGGAAACATACATGTCTTTATTACTGTTGTGAAACAAAAAATTGACTATGTGTCAATAACCCACTTCTGTTACAAATGACATTCCGCCACTTATTGCGACATATGTTCGCTGGTGCATTTAACTGTTTGACTGTTATTACAGTGTGATGTAAGTAAGTAAGTAGCTGATGATCACTCACATGACAGTTGTGAAATTCAATGTTGTTGTACGAGAAAACGCACAGAAAACGAAAATACTAAAGAAAAGACGACTTCTAGTTGGATTATTTAGTGGTGTTGTTTCGATGAGTATTAAAGTAAACATCTGCACACTTCTTATACACATTTAAATATAACTCTTTTGTTTGAAAGTATGAGTATCTAACAGATTTATTACCAAAAACTTAGCTTCTAGCATATGTATTTGTCAATGATCAGATTCAAACCGAGCACAATGGTTCATATTACACTTACCAGCGTTATGGTTAGATGATCACCATGCCGTGGTTGAATATGTTCTTCAAAGAATAAAATTTGTTAGGCAAAATATACCAACATTTCAAGGAATACAAATGTCAAAAAACTGCATTGAGAGCATTAATTGAGCAGCAAAAGACGCGTCGGGGTACGACTTAATGGAAGAATCCAAGCAAAACTTCGATAGGTCAAATATAACTGAAAACGTTAGTCAACACGTGAGAAGGTTTCTTCGTTAGAAATCAAATATTTTACACATATTTTTAGGAAATAATTGATGTATGCAAACGATATGGATAGAATGTATATTTAAATCTGTGGAATCATAATGTACAGTCCGTCACCATTCACGATCTCTCTTGTTTTCAGCACAGACTAATTCGACTAATACTTATGCCATACATAACTCTTGTAATTTATGACAGCTGATCAAAAACGCGCATCCAATAGAAAAATTTTTTTTGATACCCTTTGTGTTTGGTGAAATCTGAACTAATATGGTGAAAAATGCGTTTCCGCTTTTTTCCACACTTTGGAAAAAATTTCCGTTTTTTGTCTTTTTATTCCGCTTTTCTGACCTAAGCATCTGGCAACTCTAGTCTTGACGCGAGTCGCAGAACGATTGAGATAAAAAAACTGACGCTTCGTGATAACGAATAAGAATCTTTTTGAAAAACAAGAGTTATTTTTCGTGAAACGGTTTACGCGAATCTAACCGCGTTCCCTAGTGAATGTACTTGGTACAAGTAGTTGATTACAATTGATGAGTACTTGGGAAGTGCGTGACAAGTTAAGCACTTCGCACGTGCTTTGATTTCGGCTTGAAAGGACGGTCATAATAAATTGATTGAAGGTAGTTCTCTTCCTTGATAATTCTTATTTCTAATAAAGCTCATCACGAAAGAGAATCCCCTAGAGAACTTCAGTTCATTGGCAAGTGCTTGAGCAAGAACTTGTCAAGGGTCGTTACTTGACTTGTTTCAGGTAAGTACTTGGACAAGTAAGTAAGCCTTTTCTTTTGCATTGACCACTTGTATATAAACATATAAATAAATGGAACAAATACTTGACTGAACTTAATTTACTTCCATTGTGTCAGCCAAGTACTTACGTCTTTTACTTGAAAAAGTCGACAAGTATTGTCCTCATTACTTAATATAACCCAAGTACTTGGCTCAAGTACATTTAATTCACTAGGGTTTGTAGTGTAAATCAGCGTTCCCAGATCCTCAGGTCAGAAATGCGGAATAAAAATCCCAAAATGCGGAAACACATTTTCATGGTCAAACTTCATCCGTTTTCACGCACAATCACAGAGTTGCCAGCTAGAATGCCATAATCGACACGGTTTTCCACCGTATTGGCATTGATTGTGGCGAGTGAGCTGGTAACTCTGCCGGCACAGAGTCAAAAAAATGTTTTCTCTAGCACTTTTTATTCAATAAAATGGTGGTTTTATTCAATAAAACACAAGAGAAAAACAAACAGAAATGTAAGTCCTGATTTTAGTTGACACGTTGTTTTTTGACTGTATATTTTTTATTAGAATGAATAAGTTTAAGCAGATCTGGCGTTGATAAGAAATAATTATAAATTTCAGTGCATGATAACGATGAGTTTAAGCAAATTTTTAACTCAGCTGCAATCACTTCTGTTGACATACGATTTCTTTTTCGTTAAATAAATGTTTCATGGACGAAAATGCACTTTCGACGTATGAATTACTGCACGGAATCGAAAATATAAACGAAACTAATTTGTGCATGTTTGGAGATGGTGTTGGTTTGACAATAGGATGAGAAAGGGAATCCTCAATAGATAGACATTCTTTTTTTAAATGTTATATGTAAACAGGGGAAAACAGCAAAAGCAGACAATTCTCAAAATGCAGACAAATAACGGACAGCGGACAAATTGCGGAAAAAACTCCAAAATGCGGAATTTATCTGCAAAATGCGGACCATCTGGGAAGTCTGGTGCAAATATACCAAGACAGCTGAGTTGGGTCTAGTAACGGATAGCTTTTAGACGTCTATTTTTTCAAATCTTGATGAATTACAGTTTCTTTTGCAGGATACAAGGGGAGTTTCGTGTTTGTAAAAGTGACGCCACATGTAAAGTATTTTACCTTGAATTTAATTTTTATTCAAGAAACGAAATAGAGAAATAGATTGTCAATTTGTGAAAGGACAATTAAATACAGCAATCATTTTCTACCACGATTCACAAAATTTTCCTGTCTGTAGCAATCACGATCGTTCGCGGCATCTCTTCTTGAATACAATTGGAGGATTGATGTCAATGAGTGAAATATTTTTATTTATTTATTTGATTTTTATTTGTATTGTATTGATTCGTGCTATAAAAAGACACAATTAACTATCCTCCACTTGAGAAATTAGAAGATAATTTAATTCGTATGGATTATACTGGAAAAGACGACTGGGTATCGTGTGATCGTTTTAGCACAAAACGATATTACTGGTCAGTGTTTTTAATAGGAATTTTTTTGAGAGTGAAACTTTCACTTTGCTGTTACCGTCAAAGTGGGATTTTCACTTGATGTGAAATGTAAAGTGGATAAAATGGGAACAGTTGAAATTTTTGTCTAATAGCGACTAAAAGAGATTTTTTTTATTGTCACAGGGGTTTCATTTTATCAGTTTCAGTTAAATAGACCGAAATTAACTTCTTTGCTCAGATCAGTTAGAAATTTATCGAACAGACTTTGTTTATTATAAGATGTTCTACTGTTAGTCATCTTAGATGATTCATCTAAAACAAAATCTAACTAAAAGAATAACTGTAAGTTGAACACTTCTGAAGAAAAAGAAACGCTGCAAAACTTTTATACGTTTAGATAAAAGTCACAAATACTTTTTGGTTAATATCCTATTGATGTTTAATATTCAGACACCAGCCATGTCGTATCGTGATGAAAATTGGAGGATTGAACTGAAATTATACTGGTTCTCTAGCTCACATGTATTCAACAAACAGAGATCGATGGGTTAGTTTTCTGAGGCAGAAAATATGAAAAAACGATAAGATCGAAATTCTCAAGAACAAAGTGGGATACACTTTTCTCAGCGTGGAAAACAATGGATCCCATTATTCAAAGTGAAAATTCATTTTGTTCTCGCTTGTCCCACTAGTCATTAAAAACACTGTTACTGGTACAAGTTAATGCTTATTCGCAAAAGTACTCTTGAGATCATTTCATCAATCAGTTCATGAGCTCTGGCATTGATTTATCAAAATGACCACTTAAGTAGATGAAACGCCAAGAAATTAGTCAGTCCTCAACTAAAATTAAGTCAAGGCTTAAGCGTTGACTGTATCTTAAAATCTACTAATAGAAGAATATTGACAAAACGATCCTCTGTCATTTTTTCCTGTAGTGACTGGTCTCCGTACAAGTCGTGTTTCTTTTTTTTATAAAAATTTCTCAATAAAAAACGAGAAAACACTTCAAAGAGTAAAAAGTAGTAAAAAAAACTTACGTAGTTTATAAGCGCTTCCCACTGTAGTGTGAACAATAGCACCGTTTTGCTTGATTTGACCTTATACTAAAGAAAGGAATCACTCTTCATTCTCGATAAGTTTAGTACGTTTATTAAGATCAATGTCTCTAGATGATGAATATTGGTTAATGTCCAATAAATGCACAAAAGTTTAATAACAAATAATAATCCAATAACTGCTCCAAAGGAAAATCTGGTCAAAGATTGGTCTAAACAATGTTAAACAGATACAATATTTAAATGTACATTATATCGTCATTTAAATGGTAGTAACAAGAGTTGAAAAGACATTGAATAGCATCAGAATAATACTAGAACATCTTCAAGAGACAAATGAATTGAAAAATGATTCAGCAATAGTGTGCATTAAACAAAGAAAACATGCTCGTTCTCCTACGCTTTATCATTCAGGATCTTACATGAAATGCTAAAGAATTGAGAGAAACAAAAATTAAAACTACATTATAGCTGCTGGACTAGTGTTTGAAGCCTCTTTTTCCCCCTTCACTTATCGAAAAGGTGGATCTTGTTTGTTATCTAAAATTATTAGTATGTTGTCTATTTCTAGATATCATTAGTTTATGTTCCTTATAAACAAAGTCAAGTAATCAATTTGATTTGTTGTATCTTTCATTAGAATCAAATGGATAGTGAACCAACTCCACAAGTGCCGTCTGTTAACATTAAATTGATTAAATCAGTTGATTATAATTCAACACTCAATTGTCTTATTGGAATAAACAATCAAAATGAACTCTTTGTGTGTAATGCTGATAATTTGTCAACGGTCTACTTTCTAGCACAATCGGATGAAGTAATTGAAATAATGTCATCGAATGATAAATGCTTATTCGTAACACCAACACAACTCTATGTTCGACAATTGTATCAAGGATTATATCTACTGAATACAATAAAATCAGTCACCGGCAATAATGCTCGAATTGAATTAACATTATCTGACGCACAACTGTTACTACAGGTAAAAGATACATTCTTCTTTTTTTCATTTTGAATGAATCTAATCTGTATTTTGTGAAAAACCGTGTTCTCAACTAGATAGTTCAGACCAGCTATTGCTTCTTTCTTTACCAAAAAAAGTTCTGACTAATGGCAAACAATTAGTATAAAACACACGCAATATTGCTGCTATTGTCACTGAAAATTTAGTCCGAGGTTTAATGAACAGTTTTTCACTTACGAATGTCACTCTAATCTTCTTTTGATTTTTCTCTTTAGATTCTTAGTAGCATTGATTTATCCAGCGTTCCTCATGTAACAACATTTTACGACTATTTGAAACAAGAAATCGAATCTAGTTCAACAACTATCTCCACTCAACAATGGCAAACAATCGCATTTAGCTACGATTGTTTATTATTAATTAAAATATGTTCAGATATAATTCGATTAGTAAAACAATTGAACAAACAACCTTTACCTGGCATTGTTGTAGTTGGTTTACTCTATGATTATTTAACACGTTGTCAACAACAACAACAAATACAAGAAAATAATTCTAATGATGATGTTGATTCAACAACTAAAGAAAATATAAATATTAATGATTCATCACTATTTAAACATCTAACAAAACCTGGTGAGATCACAACATCAAAAGATACTCAAAAATCTATGCTAAGTGAAGCAGCACGTTTAAGCACATTTTCACTTTGGCCACATTCATCGTGTCGTTGGTTATCACCGGTAAAAATTGAATTCAATATTTGAAATTAATGTAAGATAATAACGAGGTTTTATTACATTTTTCTTTAGGAAGCTATGGCAACTGCTGGCTTTTTTTATTCGGCATTAAAAGATAATGATGATCGTGCACTATGTTTTGCGTGTACAGTATGCTTAGTATGTTGGGAGCCGTCAGATATGCCAACATCTGAACACGAACGACATTCACCTAATTGCCCATTTGTGAAAGGAGAATTTACGGAAAATGTACCAATTCGAACAACGTGTGCTACACAACCGGGAAAATACATCTATGATACAGAAACAAAATGGCTAATTAAATCCAATGAATTAATTTCTAATCGATATCTTTTATTTATGGATGGACAATGGTTAATTCGTTTGTGTGATATTAGCAGTGTGCTCAATATTTATACATTATTTTCATTTAAACCAGTTATAGATCAATTGAGTGAAGCTGCTATGAAATCTGATCAAAAAATCAGGTTATTACATTATTTTTATTTTTCTATTCTATTTTTTTTAATAAACTCATTTTTTTTTCATTACAGTTCGTCTGATACAATATCTATAAATTCCATTGATCCATTAATCACGAAATATCACATGCCGCTCATCCCATTGGCACTGACAATGTTCGATAAACAATCGCATTCGCCTAATGATTATCTTGTTTTTTGTCTTTCACACGTTTCAAATACAAATATTTGTTGTCTAACTGGTGTTACGATAAAACATCTAATTCCAATAATACACTCTTCTCAAACAACAATGCCAAGTGATCAGCAGCAACAATCACCATTTCCATATTCGTACACACTAGACGATTTTCCGAAACCAACATCATTCTATGAAAAACCGTCGTTTATTGAAGAAGACGAAGCATTCGAACAACCACCAGGTGGAGCATTCGTTGTGGGAGGAAAAGATGATGATGATCCATATTCTAAATATCTCGAATTTTCTATTTCACATTTTATAGATTTACAAAACAAGAAAAAAAAGAAGAAGCCTACAACTCCATCATCATCACCTTCACAGCAGTCACAACAGCCACAACAAATCAAAAATATAATGGAAGTTTTAGAGAAGACAAAATCGAATCAATTAGAAATGATAACTGATCAAAGTAAGTCTAAAACATTGTTAGAATGATCAATTATTTAATACAATGCACATTCATATTTAGACGACGAAAAACCTAAACCAGATCTATCATCAACAGCAAATGATGTTAATTTAACATCAATTGATGAGGATGAGAATAAACTGAAAAATAATTCAATAAAAATCGAATGTATGATTGAAATTTCAAATTTAAAACAACAACCAAAACAAGGGTACATTTATCAGTTAACTAATCGTAAATTACTGATATTTATTAGTACTGATAATTATGTATATTCATTTATTTTAAAAATTTCATCTGATTTAAATTCAATAAAAATAATTTCAACAGACTATGTTTGTCAAAATGAATCGATAATTAATTCGGTTTGCCCGTTGTTTCTCGAAGAAGATCAAGATAATGAACTTACTGAAGAAGATACTACTGATGAAGAAGTAGAAGAAGAAGAAGAAACAACAACAGAAATGTTAGACGATGTGGATGAATTAGATATCGATTGTGGTGGTCGTGTTGAAATGAGAATGAATACTGAACAAACAGCAAAACAAGGACGAAAATGTTATTTATTTTCGATGAAATCAGGACATTTAGTTTTATATGATGCGTATAAATCAATGAGAAAAACATCTGAATTAAATTTAACAACCGATAGTAATAACATCTCGAAAGAACAACCGAATACAGTTGGATATGTTTCAGTGTCGTTACCATATCAAATAGAAAGATGTGTACATATTCGTGGATCGGAGACAATTTACGTGTGGAGTCATGAAAATGTTTACAAAGTAATTAAAATCAAGTTGAGCTTAGCTAGCAAGATTGCATCTTTTCCTTTCGTATACAGAGTGACTACAGAGTTTTACTCTAGCATCTCTTAGACTTAACCATTCTGTACAAGATTATACGTTATTTACTGTAATTTTACTACAAAAAGAATATCTGTTCTTTATTTTCTATTTCGGTGTATAAGTCAAACAAGGCTAGTAATAGTACGTAGGTTAACTATGACGTTTTCTAATCAAGGGAAAAGTTAAATAATGAAGCTGATTTAGAAATACCATCGTCCTTGGCGCAGAGAACTATGTTCTCGCATTTTTCATAATCGTCAAAACACTTCTTTTCTCTAATTAAAACCATGATCGAAGCCCTTATTCTCATTTATATTAGAAAGACAAACTTGCTTGCTATGCGATCAACACATGCAAAAAGTCTAGTTTAGATAAGACATTGTTCAAATCTCTTAAAATAGGCAGTTCAAACGTAATGATGGATTAAGAGTTTTCTAATTTAGTAAAATCGCGTTCTCTCGCTGTTCTAATCGGCATGTATCTCTTTGTTGAAGGTGAAAATGATGGAAAAATGAGTAATCATAGTTTTAATTTCTCACTTTTCTTATTGTCTTTCTTATAGCACAATCTTCGTGATTTATTTCCATCGTATTTTCTCAAACATGACGATAAAACAAGTACACCGTTATTGCCATTGTTAAATCCAATGGATGAACAACGATTATTAGCAGCCGTTAGTGATGATTCACCACAACTATCAACGACAATGTCAAAGAATTCTGTTTATTCGCTAGTTGCATTACGTCAACTATTTTCACTTACCGAATATGAACAAGATTCGACCTTTTTTTTTGCTCAACATAATCAATATTGGATTGACATTGTCTCAGAGCAACAACAAGTTAATAAACATCATGTAATGAATGAACAACAACAACCATCGAATCAACGTCTGTCTTCTTCTACACGCACATGGCGTTTACAAAATTGTTCAAAAGAACCGAATACAACAACTACAACACCACCATACACGCATATATTCGATATTCAAACCACTATGCCATCTATTCTCGGTTGTATTGAATTTCGTTATACGTTAAATCGTACATACCATTATCAAGGCCAATTAAATGTCACACTTGTACACGTTAAAGAAAGTAATGATGTTGATCATCAAATACAAATTCCACAATTATCAACAGCAACATCATCATTATCATCGAATAACTATGATATATTAGCTGGTCCCTATGATTTATATGAATATTTTGAATCATCAACAAATGATAATGGTCTAATTTATTTAACATCTTATGAAATGTTAAAATATAAATCAAAACGATATCGTTTAATTATTGAAGCTAAGCCAACATCATCATCTAATCAACAGCAACCTCAACCATTTCCAATTGATGTTGTTTCATTAACATTAAGACGTTATAAAAAAAAATGTTTAATTCCACGAGTTCAACTATTTGAGAGAAGTACGATTGATTGTTTAGTAAATACATGTCTAAATACAAAGTCAAATGATAAATTGATGTTAACATTAGATATATTGAATTTTATTCTCTATGCATTAAGTAAACAAGAACGTTTTCATCGAATACAACAATTATTTATCAGTCAGTTAGACACATTTTTTAAGAAAACCTATGTAAATGGTACACGAACAATTGCACGTAAAACATCGACATTAATTTATCTATTATCAACAACAGCTAAGAATGAGCAAACATTAGCATTTGTTAAACAATTTCTAAATCAATTTCAAGGTAATATTTTACATTTTAAATCATCAGCATCATTAAAATGGTTTTTTGTGGTAATTGGACAATGGCTTCTAACCTATCCTGAATTAATTGCCAGTAAAATTTTAATAACATTATTAGATTTATCGAAATATACTTGTGAACATAAAAATTATTATACACAAATATTAAAATCAAGGTAAATAAAAGCAGAGTAAAAGAATATGTACTTCATTTGTACACATACATTTTGTGGTATAAAATTAACTAAAACTTTTTTACATTATTTTAGATTTGGTTTGTTTCAAGATCCATTTGAAGTAGATTTATTTGATTTTGATCTTTCAACATTTTTAGAATGTTGTTTAAAAAATCGTGAATCTTCATCAAATGGACAAATATTTGCTCCACAACCATTACCACCACCACAACAACAACCAAGTACAGTATTATCAACTGGATCTATTGGAGTTGTGCCTAATGGTACTTCACCTGCCGTTGCTGCTTCTGCTACTTCAGATACATTATTGTCATCATCAAATATACAATATTATTTGTCAAAACTCATGCCGTTACCACTACTATCCTCAAATGTTTATCTTAAACCAATGCCAGGTCTTTTAGAAGTATTACCATTGAATTATGTATTTCATTCATCCAGTGATGGTACACGATTAGAAAAAGTTGATATAACAAATTTATCAGCATTGCGTGGGTTTGATTCAGCTGTTACAACGATCACTGGTACACATACTCAAGTGAATAATCCATTTACATTTTCAGGCAATATGAATAATTATTATGATTCTATTTACATGTTACCATCACATTCAGCAACTGGCATGCCACCTCCTCCACCACCTGTTACACACACTTATTTGCCACAGGATGCTAGTGCTGGTTTGAGTAGTTTTGGTAAATTAAACAAACAACAACAAGAAAAATATTCAAAATTAAAATATATAACAAAAAAAACTAAAAATAGTGCCACATTATCGTCAACATCATCTGCTACAATGAAAAAAAGTTCGACATCATTATCTGATTTGTTTACATCAACGAATTCCTCTAAAAATCCTTTGTCATCAACGTTAGTCTCAAAAAAGACAAATCAATTATCAAAAAAACATGATATTAAAAAACGAAAAGTGACAACAACGACGAGCGATATACTAAATTATATGACAAATGCCATGGCTAAAGGACAATTTCCTGCGTTATATCAAGTGGCTGTCGATCGCCTTCATTCGGGTGGACGAAGTCATTTTGTATTGGATTTTGGACAACAAGTAGGCAACCTTTAGATATGCCCTTAGATATAGGAGAAATCGCATAACTTTCTCCAGAAATAAATTACTCTATCACAGTGAACATTTCTGGCTTAGGCAGGCGAACATGAGACTCTGTGTCAAAAACTGGATTTTCTTGCATAAAAACCACTTTCTAATGTGATGTGTGGAAAACCTATAGTGTGATTCAGAAACATAGAGTAAACCGACACACAATTTGGTAAAGTTTTATTGAATTTGGAAGTTTGCATCCGTTTACGCGCTCATTATACTGATCTCATCCGGATGGAAAATTATTTTTAGTTTAGAAGTTAATTTTATTTTACCGAAATGTCAAACCCAAAACTGTGATATTTTTTCTCTTAGATAGCTGAAGGTGTCGAGATTCGTAGTCTCCATCGTTTTTATTTTTGGCATCATTCGATTTAATAAGAGAATTTTTTTATTTCTTGCATCAGTGTTTTTCGGCGTTTTGCCTCGATGTTTTCTCACGAACTTAAGTACTTAAAACAAAAAAAAGCCACTAAATAGAGCATATGCTCTATTTTCGTCTATTTGAAAATCTGGAAATAGTGTGCTTTTGATTTTTCATGAAAAGTTCGCCTGGATGCTTGATAGATTGTACCACTGTACCCATCTGACTTTTTCAAAATCATCCGTTTGTCTTTAAGCACCACTTTACAACAGGTGATGCTTTTTGTTTTTGTTTTTCTATTTAGGTTACATTTACTGATATTCTTATTCCATCTTGTTACGAGGTTGGTTCATTGAGTCTTGATTTTTGGTCTATATCAGAACGAACTGATTGTCAACGTTTATTTTCAACAAATCAAATTTCACTCAATCCATTTTATTTAAATGATATTCAACCACCTGTTATTGGACGTTATATAAAAATAACATTAATTGGAAAATATAATATGTCATCATCATCATTACGTTTACCATGTGGATATTTTTTTGGTTATCCATTTGTAACAACAAAAACTAAACATCGACAACAATTAGAAAATGATGAAAATCATAATAAAAAACAATTATCAATAATTTCTGGACATTATGAAGCAATTGTTGCCAATTATTCATTACATCGAACACGCCTAATTGAATTGTTAAATAATTTACCAATAATGGATAATGAAAATATTACAAATACAATTGAAAAAGTTTATCGAGATTGTTTATATTATCAAATGCAAATGAATATGGCACGTAAAAATATTCAAAAATGTCGACAATTATTAAAACAAAATGTCAATGATGATGAATATATTGAACAACCCGAGAAAAAAAATATATCATCAGATTATATTCGAGTTTTAGTTGATCTTATAACAAATGCACTTGCATCATTATCAGCTGTTTTACAACAAAATCAAAATAGTAAACTCTTATTAACATCCAATAGTACTCAAAGGTAATTAATTAATTTCAAGTGATGAATAAATTGTGTCACTATCGAGAATTGTTTTAATCGTCTGTGCAGGGATACCGCGGCGACGGAGGTAGAGAGGGGATTCTCCCTTCCTGCTTTTTGAGATATTTTACTTTCAAATTCGAAAAGTTTTTGCTCTGAAATTGACATCAACAATCAGCACCATTTGGCGTATGCTAATAAACATAACAGCACGTGGAAACGAAGAGGAAAAACTTTTGAGCTGTGATTTAATGACGCATCATGAGCAGCCGTTGATTACTCATTATAAGTCTCTGTTTAAGAGTAAACACCACCATATTGTCTTTTTTTTCGTTTACAAGAAGATCTGCTACCACTCGCATTTTGAGAGCTTTGGATTCTTCTTCCTCTCTTTCACTAACTTGACTCCCATATTCCGCGGTATAAACGCTTGACTCTTCGTAACAAAACGCCTTTGTCCACTGAGTTTACTCCCAAAGTCAAAGTTTGAGACTCAGGTTTTCAATCAATTCCTCAGATCATGACGCTGAATCAGTATATTTTACTCTTAAATCTAAAGGAGTTATGTCTCAAAGCCTCGGATGAAAATCAAGCATTATATCATTTACCTTCGCTATCCTATGATAGCATAAAATGTTGATTTTTTTGTCATTTTCACTCTAGATAAAGTTAGTGGTTTAATGGAAACAACTAAAACTGGGAAAGCATATTCGAAAAAGCATAACAACAGATTTTGTAGAATGATTTAGTTGTTGCTCGCAGTTAAGTGTCTGCAAGTTAGAATAGGAAACAGTTCGGGAAATGAAAAATATGTTTAGTTTTATTGCAAAAACTTTAGCGTATGACGTTTTTTGCAACTAAAACATTTTGTATGTCAAAATTTGCGTATTTTTAGAGAAATCAGATATTTACTCTTAATTTTAAGGTTTTTCGATGTACTCTAGAATCGGAGGACCCTTCTCTACTTTTAGTACGTCACGGCATCCCTGCGTCCATGTCAATCTTCAATTAGTTAAATCCTTTTCTTGCAGTGTTTCAACGAGCGTCACGTTCTACAAAGGAAACGTTGTTGGTGTTATTTTATTTTACAGTCACCTTGCTCTTCTATTTCTTCTGCTCGTAAATAGCTTCTTCAAACAGAAACTTTAAATTTCTCAACAATTTGATAAAACTTCTTCACTTAATTGAATTCATAAATTGTCAACATTTCTTTACAGTAACTTGTATAAAACTATATGTTTTTGTTCTTCTTTATTCAAAGTCTTTATAATTTAACGTTGAATAATGCATTGGAACTATTTGATGAATATGGTATCAATCATTTATATTTAAACGATATGCCAAAACGTTTATTAAAAACATTTTCATATTATTCATGGTGGCCAGAATTTGTTCGTATATGTTTAAAAACTTATTTTGTTAATGATTTTACAAATATTCATTTTTCTTATTATAAAAAGAATTTATTTTGTTCATTAATTGATTTATGTGAACAAACATTGTTACCAATGTTATCACTCTCATCTACTTCTAATATGAGTGCTGTTCAAGATCTTTTATTATTTACACAATATCGTTGTTTATCAACAGCTTATTTAAATTCACTTCTTGAATTAATTAGTATATCAACTGATAAACAATCATCTTCTTTAGAATGGTTATTATCATTTTTAAATCGTTTATCGGATAAACAATTGATTCCTGTTCAATTAAATAAGAATATGTCAAATCGTATAAAAACAGTTCTATATCGTTCACATACGAATGCTCCCACTGCCATGGATACAGATAATAATGAGAATAATCTATTAATAAATTTAAAACAGCCATCACCATTGAATAGTGTTTCTTCGACATCAAATGTACCATCACTTGTTTCAAATTTAGAAAATTTTCTTAATACATCATCGATAATTCATACACCACGTTCTAATTCAAGTGGAAATTATCGAAAAAAGAGAAAAGAAACGTTAATTAAAAAAGCAACAAAAACAGCTACTGTTGCACAAACGGCAACAACCGTACCATCTTCACACACAAATCTATCGTTATTAACAAATAATAAAAATAATGAACAACCAGCAACCGCCTGGTTTAATCAAATTAATGTAAATGATGTATTTGTTGAAAAAATGGACGTTGATATAGAAAATTCATCACCAAAAAAATCATTTTTATCATGTTTTTATTGTAATCGATCATTATGTTTAAATGTCACACGTTCGTTAGTCAAACTATTAATAAATTCATTTTATAATGATAATAAAAATGATAATGTTAGTTCAATACCACATGATTTATTTTTACTAATATGTAAATGTTTATCAGCTATAACTCGTTCATGTTATCCAATGTTGGTACTTGATGAATTTTTAACTTATGAACAATTAAAATTATTACTCGGTTATTCATCTGGTAAAATTGTTAATAAAGAAAAAAATATTTATATTCGACAATCGTCACCGTGGATACAACATGCCATCAATGGATTATTACTCGATCTTATTGATAATGAAAATTCTTTAGTAAGTTATTTTTAATAGTATTCAATATGATTTAATTGTGTTGATATAATTTATCCAAATTAGACAAAAATAATGTACAACTGACTGTTTTACTTATGTTATTTCTTTCTTTTTAGGATATTGATGAGAGAAAAACTGGCAGTCCAAAAAATACTACTGATACATCGTCTATCATTGATATATCAACAAAACAACCGCAACAATTATTTGATTTGTTCACACAAAATTTGCTTTTGAAAAAGCCAGACAATGATACAACAAATTCAGTGGAATTACCATCTATGATAGATGAAAATACTAGTGATGTCGGAGCAACAGGTGACATGGATTTAATGGATAGTAAATCGACTGAAAATGATCAATATATTGATGATGAAGAAGAAGATAATAGTAATACTGTGAGTGAGAAAACAAAACCATTTAAAAAGAAATATTCTGCAATTAAAAAATCAAAAAAAAAATCGACTAGTAATACATCAACATATTATTCTCCACAACAAATTGTTATTCAATTTACTAATGATAATAGTGGATCAATGAATTTACCAGATGAAGAATTGTTATATTCTGTTATGAAACATACTTTATCTGCGCTACCAATTTCCTCAACAGCAACAACATTACATCAAAATATTTTATGGGATAATGATTTTACGGAGCCACCATTCAATGAAGTTACAATAACAACAGGTCAAAAATTATCATCACAATCCATTGTAGATATAGTTCCATTTTCATTAGACAATCGTTTAGATGGTACTTTATATTATGTTCTTGACTTGTATACAATGAATCGATCGTACAATACACAAACAGCATTACAAACATTTTATTTAACAAATATATACAATGTATTCTGTTATGATATCAAAATGCCGGAAGTTATTTCTACCCCATCAATCATACGTAAGTAAAGTTTAGACGTTTTGATTCTATACAAATTAAGCAGAATAAAACTTACTTTCTGAGAAGTAAAACATTGAGAATACATATCTGTTCGTTTCGCTGATAAAATTTCATTGTGATTGTGTTAAAATATGACTAATTTAAGGTAGGAAAAAGTATCACTTTGGCTAACGAGGGAACATCCCGAAGTGTCCTCCTGGGATTTTGGAGAAATACGTGTGGTCTGGTAGAGCTAAGTCCACTGATCATAAATATGATATTTTAGCTGCCACCGTTGACTCGCTGCTGAGCAGTTTTATTTTATTTTGGTAAAAAAATGACCTATTTTCGATCGATCACAGCCTTTTGCAGAGACATTATTCACATTCGTTTAATAGGCTCTTTTGTTGAGGAACCCTTCATCTACAATTTGGTATATGGGACATAGCAATTCGACTTACAGTATTTGAGAAACAAATAAGCATTTACTGTACATGGATCTTTTGCTATGCATCATAATTTTTTGCTTCTTGATTTCTGTACGAAAAAACAATTTTGTGTTTTTAAATATGTCAATTTGTAGAGGATTCAAAACACTTTCTTATGATATATTATATTTGATTTTAACGTTTATTATCAGTATAACAGTATCAGTTAGCTTTTAACTTTATTTATTTCTTAATAGTCCTACCGACAGAAAGGGTGAAGTAGATACGTGTACAATAAATGCTTATTTGTTTCTCAAATACTATGCTATGTCCCATATACCAAATTGTAGATGAAGAGTTTCTTAACAAAACAGCCTATTAAACGAATGTAAATAATGTATTTGCAAAAGGCTGTGATCGATCGAAAATAGGTCATATTTTTACCAAAGTAAAATAAAACTAGTCTAACTCAGCAGCGAGCCAACGATGGCAACTAAAAATATCATATTTATGACCAGTACACTTAGCTCTACCAGACCCCATGTATTTCTCCAAAATCCCAGGAGAACACTTCGGAATGTTCCCTCGTAAGTTGAACTTACATAACGTTTCTTGAAAGATTATGAAAAAAATGAAATATTTTTTACTCAAATATTTAACTTTATTTCTAATTAGATTATTTTTCTGTTTGTTCTTTAGCTAATTATCATCGTCAGAGTGAATCTACATGTGAAATGATCAATAATGTTTTGCAGTCAATGTTTTATGATCAATTGCCATCTACCAAAATACAAACAATTTCTTCATCCTATTCATTATTAACAAATTTAGATCGTTTATTGTCAAATTATTTAACATTTTCTTTGTTGAATTATTCACGAAACATTGGCACTGAAAACAAACTTGTGCAAGATAATGCTTCGGTCAATCACTCATCATCATCATCATCACCCCCTATAAATCAAACATTAAAACCACTAATTTATATGTCTATTGATACATTAGAATATATATTAAATTATATTCATAAACAAAATGATTTTTTAACTCCAAAAATCTGGCATCATCTATTTACGATATTGTATTATACAAGTACAAATAAACAATTGGCACATCAAATGAAAATAAAATGGTTTAATGAAACAGCAGATACGATTTTTATTCATGTTCTATTTCAATTTTTTAAAGCACCATATGAAATGTTTGATGAAAATACATTAGAAATTATAACAAATTATTTTGAACGCTTATTTATGTGTGAAGAACAACAAAGTAAAATTGTAAATGGAAAACGGACAGCAGGTAAGAAATTATGAGAATTTTTTTAAGAGTGTACATTTTAATTTACTCTTATTTCTGTTTTAGATGAGCCACATGATACTTCAACAATGACACAACCTATCGTAGAACAAAACATTCCATATGATCGTTCATATTTAAATTCATTAATAACAATTTTAAATCGTTTTATAACTGATAATTTTTACATGATTAATGGACCATTAAATTGTCATTTAAAACTTCTAAATTACTATTCAAAAATTGATTTTATTAATGCTAGTATGTCAAAGAAAACAACTTTAATTAAAAGTATAATTGATTTTGTTTGGGAATATATACGTTCTTATTCAACATTAAATTTTACATTAAATAATGTTCATCCACTCATATGTTTTCTTAATTATGATAGAAAACAACGTTCATCGTCATCCATTCAATCTTCAACAGTACCTAGTCAAAGTTCATCATCAAAAATGCCGTACAAAGTTTCAACTACGATGACAACAACTGAACAAGCAAATAATTTACCAACATCATTAAATCCAAAATCAACATCAAGACATAATGGTTTAAGAGAAAATTGTGTAAGACAATTAATTATATTTATGACAAAATTAATAAGAGCACAGCAAGATAACATTGATGATATGATATCAACAACAGCAACAATAACAGCAGAACAAACACAACCAGAACAACAACAACAACGAAAACATTTTAAACGATATGAAGCGAATGAGGCTGGTAATGATCATCAAGAATCAAAAATGGAAGAAAAAGAAGTGAATTCATTAACGACAACAACAAGTAAACAACAAGAGGTTAGTAGCTCATCTCAATCTTTATGAAAGAAGAACTTTTAAGATAAAATATGATGTTACCATTGGATACAGAGTATTATATTGTGATCTTTCTCTTTTAGTCATTTGTACTTGAATGTGTCTATATTGAAAAATTATTATCTATTTTGAGTGCATGTCACTCAGCCATTGACTCATCCTCCTCATTATCGACATCCATAAAATTTCTGGCAACAACATTTATAATGAACGACAATCATATTAACAAACAAAATTCATTTCCTTATTCATCTTTTGTTCATGTTACAATTCGATTAAATTCAAATGATTTATTATCAATTGGTGATTGCGTTTATTATTGTTTAACATCATATGTAAAAAAATCGGACTATATTTTACCAATTGTTTGTAATTATTTATCTACTTATCCGTTAATATCATCACCATTAATACTCTATATTATACTTGTATTACAAAATCATAAATCTTTAATAGATGCATTAAACAAATATCCACTATTTCAAATACTAATTAATGGTATTATTAGTTCAAGTAAATATTTTTTTCAAACACGTTCAACAGTAATACCAACAATACAACGTACATATGATATGAGACAAAATTTACAATTAATATTAGCAAATAATAACATCAATGCTGCTACGACAAGTGCATATTCTAATTTTCCACCAAATACCTTTACACAATATATTCCATCATTTAGTGGTGCATCTGTACCTTCCATAGGAACTAATTCTATGAAATATTCACAAGTTGTTGCAGAAGGTCAAAATGCTCTTACATCAATTTTATTAGCACCATCAACAACGAATGGACAGCAAGCTCTACCATCTAGTTATTTCTTACCATCAGCAAGTAGTATTTCAAAACCATATAAATATGGTGATTACGGTAATTATTCAACCCAACAATACTCGCTAACTCCACAACAAATTGAAAAACAACAGTTAACTGCACCCCCTCTTGGCTTAATCAACATAGCAGCAGAAGGACAAATAACATGTTCAGATCCAAATTCATCACCACCTGATATACTCATATCATCATCAACAAATCTTACATCACAAACACATCGTCGTTTGAGAGCATCACCATGGTCATATCATTTTTCAGCAAATGAAGAACGTTGTACATTAACACTACATTTTCCACGTGTTTATACAATCAAAAATATTGTTATATCAACATTTACACAAATTGCAATGAACCATCACTGGGGAACGGGAGCGGCTGTAGGCTCAGGAGCAGCTGGAACAGTAGCAAATAATTTTATGATCGATGGTACATATGGAAATTCATCGAATACAACCATAAATAATAGTCAATCACCGTCAGGTAAGAACATGTATGCATATTCAGTTATTAGAGGCATAAAATAAAAATAGTATGTCTATTGGTTATCAGAGCGTTTAAAAATAATCTAAAATGTCAAATAAAATAAGTGAAATATAAGTCACTGGAAAATTTTATTTAATATAATTTCATTATTTTTTTTTCAATAGCTGTTAGTGTCGAAATATCGAAAGACGGTTATTATTTTGTACCATGTGGTGTACCATTGTTTACTTATGGCCTACAAACTATTAATATTTCGCTGACTCAAGTAGAACTTGTTAAAAAAATACGTTTAAATTTATACAAACCATATGATCATGATACAATTGGTTTACAGCAAATATCCTGTTATGGTATGTCAGTTACTGAAACTTAACTTTTTTTTTGATTTTTTTTTGAATATTTGAGGCTATTGTGCTTATGATCAACAATCATTAATGCAACAATGCTTAACTTATCCAACAATGACATCAACGGTTTATGGATTATCGCAGCAACCAACGAGGTAAAGAAAATTACTCTTAAGATTTACATGTATTCGCTCTAAGACTAACAGGAATGGTTAAGATTGAAGCCAGTAATCCATTAGAATTTTCTTATTTTATCGAATAAATTTGTTTTGCATAATAATATAAGATAAAATAAACATGGAATGCTTTTCAAATAACTCAGGTTAATAAAACCGTCGTGTTTTTTAGTCACAAACAAAAATCGTCTAAATCAAGCGTAATTACTCCAACATGGTCGTCCTATGATACTGAAAGTAAAATGATGTATTCAGCATTAACGAAAACTAGTCAACAACAGCAACAAAGTCAATTTGATAATAGTTCAATTCAATCAATGTCTACAAGTGATGAATTACGTTCATGTTTGAATTGGTTAAAATTATTTCACGTGTGTATTTATCGTCAACAACATGGAGAAACCAATGAACAACTTCTTTCATGTATAACTGACGAATTTTTATATGTTTGCTGTAGTTTATTGAATAATAATGTTGATATTAATAATGAAATGTTAGTCGAACGAATATTAATTCATTTGGGAAATCATTATTGTACAAGTGAAAAATTGTTGTACATGTACGATTTATTATTTGATATAGCTATGAAAAAAGAATTTATAACAACCAATCGTGTTATTTACATTATAAATGAGTTAAAATCGGATAATCAAGTGACTTATTTACTGAAAAAACTAATTGATTCGAATATTGACGATATTCCACCAGAATTATTGCATACATGTGCTTGTATACTATGGAGATACGAGAAGAAGAGTGATAGTAATGAATTATTTACAATAAGTCAAACATTAATTGAAAAATGTTTTAATCATCTTATATCACCAACGACTTCACTATCTGTGAGTCAAGCCACTGGATGGATATTATGTTCATTTGGTCAACTCTATCCTAAAATATTGATTGAAAAACTAACTCATCTTCAACAATTATCTATTTCTGTAGTATTTGAATTATCAAAATATTTATCACAAACTATTCCATTCTTAGAAGAATTTATACAAACAGATTTATTTTCACAATTAGTTCAACAACTACATGTTCATATTCAGTACATTATCGATAGTAACTATCGAGATTTAAATGAAGATATCGTCAATAATGGACTTGACTATTTTATACAAATAAGTCGATATTCTGTTGTTCAACAATGGTTTTCTCAAACACCAAAAGCAATTGAAATATGGCAAAAATTATTAAATTTATTATCGACAAATACGACCTATCTGCCATTAGAATTATTAACAAAATTAATATCTCTATTGAATAATTTATCGTTACAATCTTCAACAAATGCTGAAAATATGCAATTAATTGCAAAATATTTGACAAAATTAACACACGATCGTCTTGTTGAACAACGTTCTTTAGTGGGTTATATTCAATATATACTTAGTGAAATCGTTCTAAATGATGAAAAAGTTCAATTGTATATAAATACTTTTGATTATCAAATTGAACAAACTACAACAATGAAAAGTCAACAAGATCATCCGTGTTTTGATACTGGACATAATCATTTTCTATTTAAAGATGTTTCAATAACAATGAACGTAGGACAATTGATACAAAAATTATTTGGTAACAATTATTTACAAGCAAATATTTGGACGGCAATGAACTATTTACAACAACAACAACAACAATCAAAATTAAATAATACGAATAATCAACAACAACAATCAGAAAAGGAGAAAGAGAGAGATCATAGTAGACGTCAACGATCAGTTAATAGTAAATCGTCGTCCACATCATTGAAAGTTGTATCATTAAAATCTTTTGCCAGCAAGGTAAGTGTAATTTTACGTAAATGACGGTGTGCTGACTGGAATATATCGAAGGGCTCAAAAACGTCAATCATTTAACTTCTTACATTTGTTATAGACCGGCTATATAAAAAAATACCGCATAGTCTGTTTCACTTTATCTTTCATATTTGATTCTCAATCAAGAGTTCTATTATCATCAGTGAACTAGACACTTATGATTTTTTTAAGCCATTTTGTAGAAAAGGAAACATGTTTGTGATATTTCTTCAAAAATGCACAAGTATCTCTCTCTCTCTCTCTCTCTATGAATGAAGAGAGGAGAATAAATGTAAATTTGCTATTAAGAAAACTTTATATAACTACATTAGAGCATTTTTAATACTCTTAGAAGTGGTAATTAACAGTCATTCTTACATTAAAGGCATTCGAGAAACATATTTACCAATCTTTTGAAAATAAAAATGTATACAAATTTTGTTGCTGATAGTTCAGACTATCAAATGAAACAAAAGCTTTCTTAGAAATATGTTTTTTTCTTTGCTGAGTTAATTCAAAAATTATCTCTGTTACATCATTACGTCGGTTTTCTTTTTCATTGATGTTCTATTTTTTAAAACAAAAGAATAAATCATAGATTTTTATTAATTCTAGACAAAAAGTTCAATGTCTACGTCATCATCGAAACGCGTACCGAAACAAACGTCAACAAGTGCCACAAAACAAGATGATCAACAATCATCAGTATCATGGGAATATGTACATTTTATTCTCTATGTTGACGATCAACCACGACAATTTATTGTTCCAAAATCTGTACGTCTTAATGAATTATTATTATCATTTAATTGTCGTTCATTAGATAAATATCCTGTGGACGTTATTCGTTTTGGTTTCCACAATCATATCATCTCTAGTTGTCTTATAACAGTAATTAATGAAAACAAAGCCATCTTACAAATTGATGAAAATACACAGGTAAATAAAAAACACTTATCTCACTGAATAATGAACGCATCTACAATGTACAATTATAAAGTTTTGATTGATTAATACTTTATTACTCTTTGTCGTTTGGCTGATCAGTTGTAATCGGACAGAAAGTTTATTAGTTTCGATGTTGTTTCTCTAAATTGTGTCTTCTAATTTCAAGTCGCCTATTTTTATGATCTTTTTTTATTTTTATAGAATGAAAAGGCTAAAGATGATCAACAGCATTTATTATCATCCGATAAAGATTATTCAACATTATTAGACATATTTATCTTGCATGATGGTTTAAAAATATTAGCTCAACATTTTTCTCGTAATTATCCAACAATTC